CTTTGATTTTAACTTTTATCCTGAAATAATGCTAGAGAGCTTTATCTTCTGTATTCCCAACTACTAGATGCTAATGAAAGTCAAAGCTGACTTTAGTGACTTTGCTTCATGTTAAGTCTGAAGCATTTTATCTTCACTGTATTTTTTTTCTACTGGAAAGTAGCTTGTGTGTGTCTGTTAGTCCGGGGTAAAAGGCACCAGTTCTGAAATTTATTTTTAGTAGTGAAAAGAAAGCATAGGGAACCCACTCTGTGCCCTTGAATGATACAGCTGGGACACGTACGGCTTGTCTGCGTGGGATTGTTTTCTGTGCTGTAACTGAAGGAAGCAAAAGGTACTGCAGATACTGCCTTTAAATGTTCATGCCTCTGATGTTAACATTTGTTTAAAAAAGGTTAATTGCAGGCAATTATGTGCTAAAAGAGCTACATCACAAGAAAAGTCAATAGTACTAGGAAACTGTAACTTTGAATTAATGATAGAACTGAACAGTTATGCCAGAGCAATTTATTTAAGGAGGCAGCACAGTTTTTTTATTATAAACTCCTAAAGTGCGATGTGTTTGGTTTGGTTTTTTCTTTTGCATAACTATAAAAAGGCATACCATTCCACACTGGATTCTTACAGTGAGTGAATAAAGAACCAAGTATTCTGATGTTTTAAATTTAACAGGCTGTTTATTAATGTTGAATATTGAAAAATAAAACTGCTTCTTGAATTAAGCTGTGTCCATTAGATGGGTTTCTTGAAGGCAAAAGTCACAGTTGTGCTTACTTGGCATGAGAACCCAGAGTGTAAATAGCTTCTATTTATTTTGTAGTCTGTGTCTATGGTAAGAGTCAATTACTGGTTTATGGTACTAGTGACTAAAATTTCATTGGTGTATCTTGAAACTATGGCAAACTTGCTGGAATCTCTTTTGTTTTCCCTGCTCTCTAGTCCAGCATCCTGGGAGTTCATAAAACTGTCCAGTCAACATTCAGCCTTTATCCAATTTGGGTAAATCCCCTAGCTGGGATCCATCTCAAAATTTCCGAGAAATGGTGCTGTTTTTTTCTTGGTAAGCTAGCTAAACCTTTAAAGGTTTCATATTGAAACTCTGTTTTTTTTTAAAAAAAACTTAGACAGCTTATGTTCCGTGCACTACTATGGAAGTGCCTTCAGGTCCTTATCTGAAAGCAATCCTGTCCCTCCTGACTCATTTTAGATGGATGCCGTATTGCTCTAAAATGCCCTGATGAGAAAAAAGAAACAAAACAACAACAAAAAGCAACAACCTAGAGCCAAACAGAAAAAAACCTTCAGCCTTCCCCCCCCCACCCCCACCCCCCCCCGCCCCAAAGCAAAGAGAATGAGAAGAGAAAGAAAAACTCTGGCTGGCCCAAAGACTCGGGGGATTTTTTGTTGCTCAGTGCCTGGTGTTATGTTGCTTGACAGCTCTAGAAAATGCTTGGTAGACTAGGCCAATCTCCCATAGATTTTATACTTTTGGTCCCATTAGGATTATGGAGTTGGCTCACTCCTGATAAATGCCAGTGTAAAGCAGCAGAGAATAAAGCCAGCTGAGCTGGTCATGACCTTATATGTGATTATAATTATAAGTGATAATAATAGCTAATGAGACTGGTAAAACATAGTTCTGAAATGCAATAGACTGCATCATCTGGACTATTTAGAAATAAAAATTTTTAATTGCACTTTGAAAAAGAATTAAAGATATCTTTTGCCGTCATAGGCAAAAAGATAACCTCCTTCACTGAAGGATCTGTGCATTGTATGTCACTGAAATGTATGTCTTCTTCAATACAATTATGCTACAAAATAAGAATTATTCATGAATTTGAGGTGAGAGGGTAGAAAAGCATGGGTTAGACTAATGTAAGACATATTTTGATCCATACTTTAAATAAGGGCAGGTGTTTTATATTTTATGGAGGGCCTTTTCTTGTTAGTTTTTCTGACATAATTTCTTCCACTCACACAGCATTAGGCTTGATATGTGATTCTTCAGAGCCTGCTCTGCTGGACTAGTCTGTACTCTAGACTAAATATAAAACTATTCCAAAGCAAACAATTGAAAACCAATTACTACAAAATATTCTTAAGTTACTTTAGCATGAGGTGTTTTTCCATATAGATCTCTCTCAACTCTTTTCCCTTTCCCTATACCGGCTAGTGCTAGTCTTCTCTGAGGTTAGGCAGTGGAGGACAACTTTTCACACAATGACACTTCTTCACTTGTGTTAATTGGTGAAGAGCTTTGACTTAGTTCTGCTCACCTGGATCAGGCAGTTTGTTCCACAGAGCTCAAAAGGACCAAGTCAAATGCAGCTTTTGCCTCTTGGCTGAACATTGCCTGGCTTTTGTTGGTTTGCATAGTCAGTGAGCTACAAAGAGCAGCCGTCTTCTGAAGATAAAGCTGAAACGTTTTGTGATGTTTGTAATGCAGGCAGTGCAAGTTGAGATTTACGCGTGATGGATGTTTTTTAAATTGATCAGGAGTGACTTTCTGAATTTCCCATGTTTCTGAAAGGGAAGGAGAAGAGAAGAAGAAAGAATTATTCTCTTCATGTTCATTAATGTGAAGCTTAGACTTTTTGAAATTTTGAAGTTCTCAGCCACAATTCCCTATTCTCTGTTAGTCACTTCTGGCACTGTAGTAGCTACAGATGAACTATTTAGAGAGGATGTCTTGAAAATGGATGTAGTGCTTCCTGGCAGAGGAGAGGGGTTCAGGCAGTGTAGTCAGGAGCCCTGGCAGAGAACGTGGGAGGTGCAACCGAGGTTCTTGTTGCTTTTGCTTATAAAAATTCAGACAGAACTTCAGCTAGCTTTTGTTATGGAAATGGTTCTAGTTTGGATGAGAGCAAAAGCTGTGCAGGAGCATTTGATTCTGAGAAGATACTTTTTTGGCTAATTCTGCTCCCAGTTCTGCCTCTTGAAGCACTCAGGAGAAATGGTTGATTATTTAAAAGCACTGCAGTCTGTAGTTACTGTAGATAAAACAAAAATGTCAAAGACACTTTTGGATTTATGTCCTGAATTTCAGTAAGATAAACAACCTTAAGACATCAGTTTTTTCATCAGCGTGGTTGTGTGTGTCATACCAAGTTCATTTTCCCTGACAACTGGCTGTTGTTCTTCCTTCCCAGCCTGCTGGGACACCTCCAGGTCTTGCACCGGGGCCACCACTGTAATGCCTAGAGCGCGGATACTTTTAATGGCTTTGTTTCAGTCATGAAGAAATGAAAGAAAAATAACAAACTGAATGAGAATACCTGTAGTTTTTTAGGTTTGTTGTATTCAGTAAATATTTCATTGGGAAACTTGTGGAAAGGTAAAAAGGCAACAATTTGAAATTTAAATTTTGAAAACGTGGTGGTTTTTGTATGTTGAAAAGGTCAGTCTCCCAGTGAAGGAGCAAATCTAATTTTCTGTTTAGATTTTGCTAGTTGTGAACTGTACTGACTTGGGCATATGAAACAGAGTGAAACATTTGCATTTCTTCTAGTTGGTTTGTGTGTCCTCAATAAAACCCGATGCAGAAGGAACTTCCCTTCCCCCTGCCACAAGTGTGGGAGCATCACTTTTGTAGAGATTATTTTTAGAACGTATCCTTTTATAACAGCTTTAGTAATAGCAGAGAGCAATGAATTTGAAATGCCATAGTTGCACGTGAACTAGCTCACAACAACTGTACTTACCGGTTTCTGCTGAAGCAGCTTTCAGGTTTCAAAGAAAATGGTGGCCAGTGACCATGCATCTCTTTTTGAAATTTTTGAACGGTGCCAGAACATGGGATTTTTTAAGTTTTACTGATGTGGGGAGTTTGTAGACGCTGCAGCGTTCTTCATGTGGAAGAAAATCATGATTCTAAAATCATGTGGAAGAAAAATATGTCCCCATATGTTTTGCCCAATTCCTCATAACTCAGCTTGAGCTGTAAACTTATTTGCTGATGAACTCTCATACCCCCCGTAAAGTATAGTAAACCTGGAGAAGAGAATCTGTGTATTTAATTCGTTAGAAAACACTGTAATCACAGCTTTAATTTCAAAACTCGGTTCAGCCTTATCTTTTGAAACAGTAGTAACACTTTCACCTGTCTTAGCTGCTGCTTAAAACTCCAGGAATTATGCAAGATGGAAAGATTTCTGTGTTGTGTTGTTTGTTGGTTTTGGGGTTTTTTTTTTGTTTTTTTTTTTTTTAATTCAAAAAATATTCTTAAACTGTTCTTTCTGTAGCACAGTTGACGTTTCATTATCAGTTTGATAAGAATTTGTACAGTAAACATTTTGAAGCATTCTGCAACTAAAAAATTACAAGAAGCAAGTTGAGATAAATATCACAGCATTATTTCTATGTGCTTTGCGGCAATATTACTGTACAAATGTTGGCTAGAATTTGAAATCAAGTTCATGCACATTTTGTACATCCAAGATATGACTTAAAAATCACTGAGCATTTGGCTTCCATGTTTTGAGGTTGTATTTTTGATAATCAAGGAGAAGAGCAGAAACCAGACGACATCAGTAACAACCAAAATACAAATCTCTGGAATATTTATGGCATACCAGCTGTCCAAGAAGCATCAGCATCATCATCTTCTGACAAATTATATCCTCTGAGGCTTGATGTACAGCACTCAGATATGCTTCTTCAAATACTTTGCTGACTGAATGATACATTTGAAATAAATTTGAGAGTTGTCTTTCTGGAACCATGCAGATACAAGTCTTCCCTTAGGAAGGTGTATAAGCATCTCAGTGATGTGTAGCTCCCTCAGCAAAGAAGGGACACTAGATTTACCAGTTTTACAGTTCTTCTGTTATCTTGTTTTCTACCACCTCACATCAACCCTTGTTTTAACATGCTTTTAACTAACTCCTATTCCCTTGAGAGATTAATGCTTCTACCCCTTAGTGCTCTTGAGAAAATAAATATTAAATCTAGTAAGATGGATTAATTTTTCATTTCACTGCTCGTTGCTTTCCTTTCAGCTACTTGCCTGATTACATCAGTGGTGATTTTGATTCCATTCAGCCTGAAGTCAAGGAGTACTACAAGGTCAAGGTAAATTAAATCTCTTTGATGAGTTTGTGTGTGTGTTAGAGCATTGTGGGATCCAACCCATTAGTGCCCCCGTTGGTCATTAAGTGAGCCTGGCTCCACTGGTTTTGTTGAGGCTTCAGTTGTGAAGCTCCTCTCGCTCGGGTGTTGGACTCTGCCTGGCACTGTGCTAACGCTTAACAGAAACAGGAGGTGCGGTACTGCCCGACGCTGTTGTAGGGTGCAGCATCCCAGCACCAGCTCAACGAATAGATCACACTTTGCTGGAGATCATACCAGCCAGAAACTAGGATAAAACTTCCTGAAAAACCTGTGACTTCTTTTGCTCAGTGAGATACAGAGCAATAAAGATTAATCTCCCGTGATTCCCACATGGCTGGCACCCACAGACTTTCTGGAGAGAGTTTCTCCAGGTGATTTTTGTATGATATGACTTTATATTTTTAGCTGTAAGCTGCCAATAGAGACATCTGTCTCTCCCATCACCCACTGAAGCGTTGAATTATGCCCCAACTACTTCTGCTTTACTACTGGAGCGCCCTCCTTAATGGGTTTTGGGACAAATTTCTGCATACATTAATTTATTCCCTGTGTAGCCACCGAGTTTCCAGTGAGCAACATAAATACAGACGTGCGTTTCTTAGGTCTTAGGGCTCACAGTTCTGCCTTTGGCTGACTATTTGGTATTTAACGCTTCACCTGCCTGGCTGTACAGGCTTTTGTGCTAAGTGCAGTGCTTTACCCTCACATTTTGGACAGCAGGTTTCTGCAAATTCAGAGGTTGCCTCAGTGTGCCAGCTTGCCTTTTCAGCAGGCTGTGCTTGCAAGAGAAGTAGGTGTTTGATCCTTGTGAGCTAGTGGACTTAGAGGTCTGTGATATGTCTTCTGCTAATTCAACATGTGAGGCTGAAATTTGCCTAAAATCTTCCCTGCTAGACTCAGGATCAAATGATTAGAACAAAATGTTTCAAACTGTGAGAGGAGGGCTGGAGGAGTGTGTAGGACTGGGTTTTAGTCCCTCTCTGAGTACTGTGAGGTTTTTTTCCCCGTGTTCTACCTCACTGGTTAGCAGGGAGAAGTATGTGATGGCTGCCCATCTTGTGAGAACAGATCAAGAAAAATTTTGGGGAATTATTAGGCCACACCTTAGGAAATAAAAATAAAATAAAAAGCTTTGGATTAATGCTGTTCGTTACAGACTGGAAATTCATGACCTGTGAGTAAATGGGGAAGTCTCAAAACATACTGCTCTGTTTGGCATGGACACTGGAATATAAATGTTTATATGTGCTTATATAAACTGCATGTTGGTAAGTGGGTAAATCCTGCCAAAGAATGTGGATTAAGGATTGTTCAATGGAGAGAGGGGTAGATGGAAGAGGTAGGAGGGGGAAGGCTACAGTAGGATATGGAAAGGAATAAGCTAAGTGAAACTGGTATTACACTTTTTCATGGGGATTACTTACCTGCCCATAGCATCCCTTTTGTCAGCTCCATGGTAGATGACTGCTGACGTGCAGTTTACATCTTCTCTGTAAATGCGTAGTGAACCATTCTGCTTCATACAGAGTTGATACACCCATGCGAGTGCTGGGCTGATGGGCTGTAAAGGAAGCATTATCGCATCAGGATTGTAAAGGTGTAATGGTGAGCATATCCTAGCCTACAGAATCCTTACCTAGGGTCCTCATACGTGACTGAGGACAATGTAGTTTGACTTTAGAATTTTCAGTTTGGGTGTACATGGTAGGAAAAATAATTTTTTGCATTTTTAAATTAAACTTCTGCAGACAGAAAATTAGAGTGGTGAATATGAGTGGGTGTCTAAGGAGGTCTTGAACAAAAAATATAATAAAACACAGAATTTAGAGAGAGGTGTATTCTTCTTTTCCTGTAAAGTATCTTGCCCAGTAAAGCACTCTCTGCAGTCCAAGAAATTTCCAAAGTCACTGTCATTTGGAAATATTGTATATTTTGATGGCCCACAACAGGTTAGGGATGCTTAAACCAGGCTATGAGAGGACTTTGGGTGAGTAGATCGGTGTAGGGCCGTTGCCTTCAGGGAGGTACAGGGTCACATTGTGAGTTAGGGTTGCTTCCTCCCTCACTGAAGCACTCCCTCGCCCACATGCAGATTACACACAGAGGTGGGTAAGCCATTATCATGAGATAATATTACTGTATTGTTTCAAGCATTTTCTTTTATCAATTGTTGATGATTATGAATGGGAAAATGGAAGAATTGTTGTAGCAAAGCGTAGACTGATGTGATGTTGCCATTTTCATTGAGCAAGTGGATGAGAATCCAGAGGAAACCCACCTGCTAACTAGCTGATCAGTATTTCCCTGTACAAAATAAAGTTAGCTTTTGATCTTTGTCATAAATTGCTTTGATGTTGGCATGGTCCTATAGCCTTTCCCTTCCCCATCTCTCTTCCAAATAGTCACCCTTGCATGAATAGAAAGCCTGAACCATCCTTATCACACAGAATTACATGAAAACACATACATTCATCATGTGAGATTGCTCCAGTTTAATTTTCCCAGGTTAGTGCCAAGAATTCCATTAATTATCAAGGCTTCTCTGAAGTAGGGCATGTTACCTTCAGACAACAAAATACTTATTTTTCCTTTGAAATGTGCGTCTAGGTAAGCATTGGGTCTTCAGCACCAAATAACAAGAATGTTCTATCACCATTCCTCAGATTTCTGCTCCCGTTTACTGCCAAGCCACCTTTCCTGTTCCACTGGGCAGCAGACTGCCCTAACTGAATTTTCCCCATCACGTACCCCTGTTTTGAGCTGCTGCCGCACCAGGGTTAGTCGTGACTTAGGCTGTAGCTTTAGCTTCTTCCAAGTTCAGACTTTTTATGTAGAGTATTTTATACTGTAGTGTAGATTTTCATCTCTTGGTGCCCCTTGCCTTTTCTCCTATATACCTTATGTAACTTATGTTGCACAAAGGAAAGGCGACACTTTCTGAAGGCAGTTAATTGGGGTGGGTCAAGAGCTCTGCTGGCTGTCTGTAACGCTACTGTGACCTGCAAGGAAAGGGGTGGGGTGGGGGGGTGGACTGCCCTGTACATGTACAACTGAGTGATTCCTTATGGCCAGCAGAAAGGAGAAGCTATCACACGTGTGGAGTGAATATGAAGGAAAGGGAAGCAAGCAGCAAGTGCTGAGAGATATTCATCCTCCACGCTCCCGTCTGCCTTTACATGTGATGCACAGGGGAAAGCCATGCCGGCTTTTCTCTTGCTTACATTTGACTCGATCGCTGTAGATACAGCTGCCAAGTGAAGGGCAAGTGATGCTGAAGGAGCTGGAGGGTCCTTTGGAATTTCAACCTGCAATGATTTAATTTATACCAGTGTTTGTTTGGTTTTTTATTTGTGTTTGTGAAGCTGAAGTTTCTCTGTGTTTTTTATAAACATGCTTTATAGTTCTGTTAAGTATTACATTTACAGTGGACTGCCAGTGACCGCTTTTTTAAAAAAAAAAAAAAAAAAAAAAGTTACCCATATTGACAGAAATTAATACATCATGACTTCTTTTATCTATCAGAAGATAGAGTGCCACTGGTTAAGGAGCGTTACTTTTTCATAGTAAAGCTAATGACATTAATTATTGGGATATATACCAGTAATTTACAAGTGTTTGTATCAACGACAGCCTAGTATATCGCTGAGTAAGAAGGGACAGTATTAAACTCAGTGTGTGAAACTAATTATGGTTCTGTAGAGCTTTGTCTATAAGCAGTTACATCACCATCACGAAACAATGAGAGGCCTGGCTCCTCCGTCACACCACGCTCATGCCAGGATGTTGCTGCCAGACTCAGAAGGTTTTCTGCCCCCTTGAAGTGATGGAAGCAAGAGCAGATATATGCTGCTGCAGGAAGCATGACATACAGATTCCCGGAGCCAAAGGGTTTTACTGGAAGGGATATCTTTAAGCCAATTCCTCTGGTGTTTTTAGCTGAGCAAGGATTACATGACAAGTGCTTCCATTTTCCTTTAAGCAGGATTATTGCCGTTGCATTGGGAATCCTATTTAAATATATATATATTTAAATATAAATAAATATGAAGTGAATTAATTTTATGTCTGTTAGGTGTGGCATGCCATAGTTAGTGACGAGATCTAAAGGCAAAAGTGCTGTTATTTCAGTTGTGTTGGAAAGTAGTCGTGTAATAAACTTATGAGTGGGATGTGTAAGTGGTGGGTTAGCCGTGTTATGCTTTTGGGAGAGAATAAGGAAGCATGCATTCAGGTTATTCAGTTTTACTTTATATTTTCTGTGGTCTTGGTTTTACCTCATTGGCTTGTCAAGTAGGTACTTGAAGTCTTTTATTCTTTATATTAAAAAGTTATTGATGATTTCCCCCATTTCTTAAAGAGTTAAATAGTGTTAAAACTGGATAAAACTGCACCACAACTGGAAATGGAATACCATGTTTAAATTTTCCTTTTTAAATCATATTGCACTATAAACGAAAGATAAACAATTTAGTATTCTTTATTCTGTATATTTTGTCATTGTTAAAACAGATATTGAGAAGAGTTTTATACTTTTATGATAAATATGCAAGTTCATATGATGCCATAATAGATAGTCTTCCTCTGTATACTCTGAAGTTCATTGGAAATGACACTGCGTGAAGCAGGGAGGACGTGTGGTGATATTTCTGTCATTGCAGTTTCATCTGTTTCTTGCTTTAGCTGGATGTTTCTATTATTGAAACCTTTTCAACATTACTTTGAAGTTAAAGCAGCCATTTGTATTGTTATGCCTCAAACAAGGCTCAGTTTCTGAAGTTTTGAGACCAAAGACATTATCTAAAGTTATACCAGATCTGTACTTACGCCTGGAAGCAGAAGGTCGAATACGGTACCCTTTGAAATCCAGATTATGCTGTTTATTAAAAACCCAGTTTGGCTTTTCCACTCAGCAAACTTCATGTGCTTTAAAAGGCTTAGTAGGATCTGCTTCAGATCTGTAA